AGCAGGAATCACCTATTCATCTATCTGATGGGTAAGGCAGTACATACGAACCCGAAGAGCTTAAAAAAACTTCTTTCTGAACTTGAAAAGTCAAATCAAGGAATAACAGAAGAAGAATAGCGAGTGAGAGAAGAAAGGAGACCCTGCTCCCAGTTCAGCGCTACATCTGCGTGGCGAAAACCAGGATCTCGAAAGGCAGACCGCATATTCCCAGTATTTTTAGAGGGCACTTTGTTTCCGTCCTCCCATGCAGCACAACAAATGTGTATGCACCTGCAGCCCTGGCTTGACAGAGATCGCCCTGCTGCCTGAGAAATGATCATGTTGATTTGTTTTTCCCCACTCCATGCTGGGCTGGCTGCCAGTTGCAAAATAAAAATGCCTCTAGGTACCAAGACAGAAATCCCGGAAAAATGGCCCATGCAAGATTTTAAAACACCATTCAGTCCCCAGGGAGGGACCTGCCTGCCTTCAAGAGGCCACATTAAACACATCCAACGGCAGCTATCACCATTTCAGTGCCTTTGGTTCCTCTACAGAAGGTCCCTGCTCTTGGGGAGCGCTGGGGCTGGCTCTCATGGATTGACAACCCATTAATGTCTTTCCTCATGCGCATTCAGAATGTTAGCAAAACAACTCAATCAGTTAATATTTTTAAGTTGGTTTTTTTATAAAGTACTTACTCTTACAATTCTTTTCTTCTGTTACCTGCTGACACCATATGAAAAGTACAACCCCTACAAGGTGCTAAAGAACCTGAAGAAACACTGAGTGTGCTTAATCCCAAATATGTCAAAGGGATTTTAGCTCAGCTAGTATTTCAAAGCATTACATCTACGCAGTGATCGCTAATTGGACTAGCGGGTCTCATCCTGCAAATCATACTGCGCATACAGATCCACCGAGCAAAGAATTTTACCAGCAGCCACGGGCTCTGCAAGCTGAGAGCACCGCAACAGAAAGCTGATTGCTGGACTAAGACTTTAAACTGTTGTACCATGCCCAATCCTATTTTTAGCCTGGAGACAAAAAAAACCAAAACACAACACCAGTTCCTACATGGGACCAGACGCTAATAAGAACTTCAGCAATACAGGCACAAAAATAGCGGGGTTCTAATCAGAGCAGCAATACAAGTAAGCCCACATTTAGCACCCTGCTGAAAATCTATTTAATTTGCATCTGTCTCATTGATCCGTCAGATGAAAACTGACGTAAACTCTAGCAAAGTTTGCAGATAGATCGTTTGCATGAAACCAGAAGTAACACATTTGGGATTACCCATGAATGTATGCTAGATGTGCTTTCCTTATCAGCTCCATATGCTTTTCTCTTATAGTACCCTAGAAATACTTAAAATGTATATACACGTTAAGTTTTAATATTTTATGTACATATTTTAAGATTCACATTTTTTCTTATCTCATTCAAATTAACAAGTGTAATAAACAGCTGAGAACAGCCTTCTGGTGATGCTCTTCAGTGCTTGCTCAGCTACAGCATCGAAGCATCCCTCTGGCCCCTGTCCCCAGGGGCATATGCAATAGCTGCCAGACCCCACACCACAGCAGGCCGGTACAACCGATGCAAGGGCATGAGACAGGAGGAAGTAGTTTGGTCCCAGCCTCCTTGTACAACCTTTAACAGGATCATACCTATCATCGTCTATGCTGCAGGGACTGATCAGCAGAATGCAATGCTTGCAAAACAAGAAAAAGTTTGCTACAGATCCAATCCTGCAAGGTGCCGCAGACGGAAAACTGTCAACCCCGGTGAAGGGTCCGGACCTGTGCTTTGAATGCATGTCTGCCTGGTAGCACGTATATTCTGAATTAAAATTTGCCTCTAAAATGAAGTTGATCTAGAGTGATTGGAATGAACGTGAGGTCAATTGCTGCTACTGAGAAACCTGACCCCTGGTATACTGAACACCTTCTTATCCGAGCAAAACATTCCTGAGCACACCATGTGTTCTCCTTGCTGCATCCTTACGAAAGCAGGCTGGTTACTGCCTTCCATCAGAGCACACCAGCTGACATGCCAAGTCTGCACATCTGGCACGCTTATGGATGCGAGGCACAAGGTCACAGTCACACACCACCCCTGTGCTGAGTAGCGGCACCTCAGAAACATCTCAAATGCCTCCTGGCTCTTGCGCCAGGCTGCTCCTGGGCAAACCGATGGCTTAAATTCCCATCCCTGGCTCCATCCTGAAAGGCACCAGCAAGGCACCAGCAGCAGGGAAGCAGCAGCCCAGCCCAGCCTGCCACGGGCTATTCTGCTCACAAGCAAGACAGGGCTGCATGTGGCCCAAAGACAACTGTCCTAACTTGCCAAAGTAAGCACTGCATCTCTTTACCCATCTGAGAAGGACATTTTCAATCTATTGCAGTGGAAAACCATAAAGAGTATAGATACAGAAAACAAATCTAGAAACCCCCCTTGCAGCATCTCTCTGGGCCCTCTTGTGATATCATTGTCCCTCTGCCTTGCTGCTGGCCTGTGATTTCTTTTCCACATACAGAAGAAAACTTATTTATCTCCTTCCCCCACCTCTGAACTCTCCCCAGCATCAAGCACTTAGCAGAAAAGGCAGCACTAAGTCATGAACATGCATCCAAGCACTGTAAACAGCAATTACAAAATTCTGGGTCACTGGTATAAACTCCATTAAGTTACCCTTTTTATTATTGTTAACTATTAATATCATTACGGCACAGCTTTCACGGGGCATGTTTGATCTCTGGATCTCAGAGGCTCCATCTCTCCTCTAATGGAGGCTGTTATCGGGATCCTCATCCTATAAACATGGAAATCAAGGCAGGCACTGGAAGCCAAAGTGACTTGTCCAAGGTCATCCTGCAGACAAAAGGTAGAGACAGGAGCACAACTCAAAGCACCTCCTGCACCCCAACACAGTGGGGTGCAGAATTATCTTCTCACACCACTTATACCATGTTCTTGTACCTGTTTCCAATGAGTGTACAAAAATTAGTACACAAACATTAATTCACAGGTGTCTGGACCCTGTGCCCACAACAACAGTCAGTTACAAAAGTCTTACCGACCTAAGCGGATTTGGGTCCTAACCTCTTCCTTCACTGCTTTCCAGTTTCTTGTAACTCTCAGCAACTAAATGTATTTGGGAACTGATTTGTGCAAAAAAACCCTGTTGCTCTCATCTTTATGTAATGGACTGTTTTAACCGAAGCATGACACTGCAGAGCACACTGCGAGTCCTTAGAGCCCGCCTGGGTGAAGCAGGCACATTAAGCAGAGAGCACTACGCTACAGGCTTCTGCATGGCCAAAAAACAGAGTGGCTAATAGTTTTTCCCTACCAGCCCGGACATCTTCTTTTACTGCAGTTCTTTTACCGCTCACATACGCAGGCAGCCCTGCCCGACAACCCAGGGCCCAAGCAGCGCAACACCGGGAGAAGTCGCTCCACTAAACCCAACGCCGGCAGCAGGCCGGGGTCGGGACTCAGGGACGTGCCCCGCGGCACACACGTACCGCACAACGGGCGCACGGCGGCCACCGCCCCCTGCTCTGTCCTGGACCCACACCGAGCCGACGCCGACAGACATACTTCAGAGGCCCTGCTAGGGACCTCTATGTTACTGGGATTTAATTGTGTTACGGGCATGTATACATATAGTGTTACAACGGGTGGGTGCGTATCATAAGACCACGAACGCACTCCATACGCGGTATTACCGTTGTTCGCAAGCTCAGACTTGCTGTATTTTCCACAGATCTTCCCACGTGCACTTACATAAGCGGCTAGCGAGC